ACGAGGAATGAAACACAAACATATCATATATACAATAAAAGAAAAACAAGATTATAACAAAAGAAAACTTGGAATAACATAATAAATCAAACATGAGACAACATTAAATAAAAAAAAACAAATAAATAAAAACACATTCATGCTTATTTACAATATTTACAGTCAGCCGAGGGAGCTCAGTGTCGGTCTGTTCCCCCACGTGTGGAGGATAAAGCAGGACTCCAAGAGATCCCATCGCTTCTCTCTCAGCCGCATCACTAGGACGGGAGTCCAGTGGAGACTAAAAGAGGGGACTAAAGAAATACATTTTAAAAATATTTATCAAGCTAGTTACTATAGACTTAATTTTTGCAAGAGAGGATGCCTAGATATCCGAAAACATATTCATTTGAAAAAAAAAATGCAAAAGAAGCAAAAAAATAAAATATTCCTTCTGAAGTTGGCCATCGATGTGTACTTCACCTGTTCGTTCGGCAAAGGACTAACATGAAAGGCCGGAAATGATGAAATATCGCGTTATCTGTCTTGTTTCCGCTATTCTCCAGTCAATTTGAGTTGTCGGAGGTTGTTCCTTTTCCCGAGAGAGATTTATGGAGAAATATCAGATGAAACACTCAGCTTGCAGCGTGCCACAGTTTCTTTTCAATTGTCAATGTTTCATCGCTTCTGTAGTTTATCTTTCATAACTAAGTGCCATCTCATCTTTATCTTAATGTATTTACATCCAGGGTACACTTCTTTAATTTTCTTTTATGTATTAAAAATAATAAATTTAAACTGTATTAGTTCAGTAGTTTATTTATTATTCTTATAATATATATATATATATGATTATATACATAATAAATAAATCCTATTCAAAACCTCTTTAGTGATATACCGTGAAATGGTATAACTATAGGGCAGCGGGTAAGATTATGGTGATTCCGTGGTGGATACACTGTGTTGTATCAGTCTGCAAAAACGTGCTTTGTGTAGCCATGTACGGCATTTGAGAATCATAGATCACTACACTCCTTGTCTAGTTAGGTTTTATTTATTTACATTGTTTTTTTCAAAATTCTTGTTTCCATGAAACTTTCGCCGCAAAGTAGTAGCGCGGTACTTGCGCTGTCCAGGCTAACTGAACCAACACAGTGTATCAACTATGGATTCACCACAAACTAAATTTTACCCACTGTCCCAAATTAACCCCATTTTACGGTACTGAATATAATAATTTACTTTACGTAAACTTGCAAAATGGAAAATATACAAAAGAAACTTACGAATATAATAACTTGTTAAATCACAACACCCACCAGCCTTACAAGACCATGACTGGTTTGGTCTTGCGTTTGGACAATACTAGGTTAGGTTAGGTTATTGCTTTTATAGGCACAGTACTGAAGTCTTTAGTGTCCTTCTTCAAATTATATTTTCCCTGCTACCAGAGCAACACTAGGTGTAAGGCACTACCTGGGTGCGAAAATGGAACTATGGAGTGGAGTGATCGTGAGCAGAGCCCATGAAATCGTCCTTACTCCAAGCACTTCATCGTTTCATTGTACCATTTGGAGTGATCTTTAAGTTTAAATGCCTTCTCTTCGTTAGACTGAAATCCGGCGTAATATCGCGACGCAAAGACCCCTCGCCTCATTGCCATTTATCAAACCACTCTTGAAGTTGATCTGACTTGGAGTTGACACCAAGGGTTCAATCAGCTAGTCACCCAAATCCGGAGTCGGTTATTTAATAGAAGCTAGATTGGCCTGAATAAGGCTGATCGATTGGTGAGGCGCCTTAACTGTTAGTGTCATAAATCTTCTCATTGCCTTTAATCGAATTATTTCAAATGTTATTTTCTCTTCTCTGCGTGTTAACCCATTTCCAAACGTCCGCTTGATTGAAAAGAAAAAGAATTGTGTGTTTTATACTGATATTAATCAAGAATCCATGCTTATTTCCATTCTTGTTTTGCTAATGGAAGTTAACGTCTTGAAATATGTCCTTATCAGAAGAGTAAACTCTATATTCCCTTACTTTATAGAAATAGACTACAAAGAGTATCCACAAATCTAGGGCGGAAACAAAGACTTACTTGTTTTTCCTTTAAGAGAATTTAATTTTAGTAATTTTGCTTAAATAAAAAAAGGAAAAATATTTAAAACATTAATCATCGATATTTAAAACGATCATTAGTCAAAACTTCGACCGTGGGCAGTAGACCAGAATTTAGATTAAAAAAATTAAAATTTACCTATTATTTAAAAATTAAAAGAAATGAACAAACTTGATATTAGTCTAAATATGAATAGTTGTTATTTGTAATTTTGGTATTTCCAATTTTAATCGTAATTCATCAATCTGGACATAATATCTCGAATTTGGAAGAAAAATATACTTATGCATTGGTTTGGTGCTTCCTATAAATTTGAGTTGTTAAAAAAATATGCGTACATCAGCGTATATATATAAATTTTACTAAAATAATTATAAGACTATATGTAAAACCACCTCACTGTTAAGCGCATAACAATTTAATTATTTTTAACCACAATGCCCAAGAAATATAGATTTTATATTCATTTTATACCTTAATAATTTTTTATGAACATTTGTTAAATAAAAGTATATAAATTTATTAACGTCAAGATAATATATTTTTTTTTGTGATTATCAATATACAAAAAGTTAATAGTTGTTATTGCAAATCTGCGGATCCAATTCAATGTTAATATTGATTCTCTTCTTACATCGAGACTAAAACATCGAGGCGTTAAATAGCAATATTTTTGTGGATATTTCGATATATTAGAAAGTTGACGATACTATATGATGTATCGATATTATTGTTCTACATTTATTCAATATATTTGAAAAATATCGATGCGATTTATTTATTTTTTCTGGATATTAGGCTCGCAATATATTCGATATTTCACTCCACACTGATTTTTTTTTTTTTTACTGTATAATTCACTGTAATAATTATTTTCAATTGATATATTTAATATTTTAATTTTTATATGTTATGATACTATTGTGAAACATTTTAGTATGTGTCTTTTCATAATATGGTGACCCTTGTAATCATATCGTGTTCACATTTCAGGCCGTACAAAATATAAATGTTGAAATTCCGTCTCCTTTCGTTGTGTTGATAATGTAGAATAAGATAAGATGTAACTATTGTTCTTTTTTTTGGGTTTTAATTTTATTTTATAGTCTTGAATAATTCGGTGTTTATAACGATTAATCATATTTTCTCAAAATATTATTACTTTCAAATTATGGAATAAAAATATTTAAATAATTATTCTTCTTACTTTGAGATGTTTATGAAATGTTGAGAAAAGGTAGTAAAAATAGAATTTATTTCTCTGTTCAACTAACATGCTTTTCAACGTCTTATTTTATATTCCTAATAAAATATTTAACAGCTTTCTAAAATATTAAGCAGGTATATATAGTTTTTTTTGTGTTTTATTCCTGCCTTTGATGAAAGTCATTAAAGAAGTAAATGAAACGGCAAGGTAGGTATCGGCTAACAAAGCATTCCAATCACTCTTTGGATCGCCAATCACTGCGAGTTTGGATAGTCGTTGTCAATCCTACCTTTAGCGGTGAAGGTTCAAGTAATTTTTTACATATTTTTAAAATTTAACTGCCAATGTTATTTACAGTTCAATAATATACATAGAAAAAGTCAACATTAATTAAAATTTATAGTTTCACCATTAGCCGGTTACTTTTTTTGCAATAATTCAATTGTTGGCATCGGTATTATATCTTCGGATTCGTTAAGTTTATTATAAATTAGAGTATTGTTTTTCTAAAGTTTCTTGTGATTTTTCAATATACAATTATAATTAAGTTTTCAAAATTACTTTACAATCATTAAAATATAGTTAATAGGGTAATACATGAATGTCTTTTAATTGTATTTATTCCCAGTCCGCTGGTGTTCCTCAAGGTAGTATCCTAGGTCCTATCCTTTATACAGTCTATACAGCTGACATCCCGACCTATCCCACCACTGTCATCACCACGTATGCCGATGACACATGTATCCTATCAGTAAACAATGACCCATCACATGCTGCATCCCAAATGCTTCAATCACACATCAAAAATCTTGAAGAATGGTGTCAAAACTGGAGAATTGAAATAAATTCCAATAAATCCCACCAAATTACCTTTACCCTTCGTCGTAAACCTAAAGCTTCCTGTCCTACAGTTTCCTTTAACAACACTCCACTTATTCCTGTTGAGCAAATCCGCTACCTAGGACTCGTCCTGGACAAATGTCTAACTTGGAATCCTCATACTAGACTGAAACGACAATAAACCGCTCGACGTTTCCGATTACTTCAGCACTTACTAGACAAACGCTCTAAACTTCTAATTAATTATAAAATACTCATATACTCCACTATAATAAGGCCTATTTGGACTTACGGAGTTGAGCTATGGGGCTCCACTAAACCATCGAATCCCTCTCGGATCCGATCCTTACAATCCAAAATCCTTCGTAAAATCCTCAATGCTCCCTACTTTGTTACAAATAAAACCATCCTTAATGACCTTAATGTTTCTTATCTTTCAGATCTGACCCAATCCAAATACCAATCCTTCCATAATAAACTTCAGAATCATCCCAATCCTCTAGTTTCTAACCTTGCTTCTTCTTCAATTCCTGATAACCCTCCGAGGCGTCTGAAAAGAAGATGGCACCGCGATCTCCTAATGTAGACATATCATTATAGTGCTACCATTGGGTAGTTTCTCAAAAAGTGTTTTCACGCCATTATATCCATATGTTCAAATTTACTAAATTTATTTCTGTAATACAGTTGTAAATATCATTAAGAAATAAATAAAAAACTTAATGTATTGAACCACCTTATCGTTCTCGAATATATAAGAGATAACTCTTTTGAACAGTTGTATTATTCGAGTATCTGCTCCAACAGTCGTTCCCCAGCACTCTACTGTATCCGTTTCCCTACTTCAAATGGATGGAGAAGCCGCCCTCAATATCCTCAGTAAACGAAACCCTTTTACGCTCTGAGGCATCGGAGGTTGTCGGGAGCAGGGTTCCTTTATGTAAAAGCGAGGCAGGTGTAATGTTGATGGTAATGATGAGGCTGTTGCGAATGATCCGGCAGTTTTGGGGATTGGAGAAGGGTCTCAATAGCGAACAGTTTGGAGAGGCGAGAGCTACGATATTATGGTCGTGCCATTCCTTCAGGATTGTCGTACTTTATATGGAAGAGGAGTCACCTCGGAATGTTACCGCTTCGATTCGTTTTCATGTAGTATGACTTGCTAGGATGGCTTTGCAGTTTAGGCTTCCTCTATCTCAAACAGTATTTTCTTTATCATATTTTTCATGGGCGTCGTTCAGTGTCCGTTACTAAGGAGACGGAGACCATAATATACAGTGACACTTCTCTTAGCGGACATTTACCCTCTCCGTATTAATACCATAAAATATTAAATAAGATTGTAGTAATAACATGTTCCGAAATCGCTTACTCTTTAATGGACGCGATTTATGTATTGTGGTAATTTTCTCTATACAAATCTATGAAGCTCCCATTAATTTGAAATTAATTCTATCCATAAAATCATAGTTCAATACTAAATACCATTGGGTGAGCCCCATCATCTTTACTGATCATCTAATAATTATTGTTACAACAAAACATAAACACAATTTCAATAAGGCCTTAAAATGTAACACAGTTACAAAATAAATTGTTCATTTGTATTATATTATTGGGTTAAGAAAAAAAAAGAAAAAAAAAAAGGTACCACTGTTATTACAGTGCAGGTGTTAACATTAACTTGATTACATTGCAATATTTTTATTTGAAATTTGATTTAAACTACTTTTTTTTTTGATCTGTTTATTGAATAATAATACAATCAGCCACTGCTGGAGGACTATAAGTATTAGGCCTAAGAGTTCTCATTCAAACAATTTAGAGAAATATTACAATAATAGAGAAATAAATATAAATATAAAAAGTAAATAAATAGTACTGATGAAGAAAATAAATATAAAAAAAAAGTAAACAATAACATAAAATAGAAACTTCTAAACACAATCATACCTATATACAATATATACATTCGCCCAGGAATCTCCGAGCCAGGCTTTTTCCCCCACATGTGGAAGGCAAAACAAGACTCCAAGAGATCCCAGAGCCACTTTTCCAGCCGCATCACTAGTATTAGAAGCCAGTGGAGACTGAAAGAGGGCAATAGAGAAGAGGGCACTAGAATAAACTACTTTTAGTTGTGAAAATGTAAATTAAAAAAAAAAACTTATAAATCTTGCAGAAACACAAGAAACTCAATCAACATTGGCGCTCATGTGGCAAGAACTATTGAATGAGCTTATTTGTTCTTATACATTTGTTAATAATAATTTGTAAAAGTGCGTTTAGACATTTCACAAACTATCGGAAACACAATTATCTAACTTAACCAATAGAGACATTAGCTGAACCCAACTTTTTTTTAAATTTCGCTTGTTACCGACAGCAGAAGGAAAACATCGAAATCTAGAAACAAAAACACTAGCATGGGGAAAAGAAGTTTAAATATTTGTATTTCTCATAGTTTGTGAAATATCTAAAGGCATCTTCAGATTTTAAGTTTATTTGCTTACGGGACTATTCAAAATATTACGGGAACCATTTTAAACGTCAAGAAGAGGGATAAAGAAGCGTCCTCATCATCTCATAGAAATCGACAACTATGCTATTACATAACTTAATTTCTTCACCCATGCCTGTAAGTACTGGCAATTAGTGAGTCTGCTTTCGGGAAGAACACTGGTATATAGTAATATACTTCTTAAACAAAAAAAATCATCTACGATTTTACGTATCAAATATTAATGTTTTAAAAATAAATATCAATATAGGTTAGTATTTCCATCCCAAATTGCCCTTTTTATCGATCTGAAAAAAATTTCATATCAAATTTGCCAATACTTCTCTCCAGGGTATTGTATCCCTGAAAAATAAAAAATAATGAACCGGGATGAATAATAATATATATTATGGTATTCTAAGTTGTAAATTTTTAATGTTAGAAATATTACAGCAAGTTTATAATTCAATGTATATTTAAGTTATATCTCCACTTTACTGAATGAGAGCCAAGTACACTCTGTGAATGGATTATCTATTCGGGATTCAGTAGCCGCAACACAAGGTTTTTGCATTAATCATGAACAAGGCGTCTCAGCCGTGAATCTATTTCTAGATCTTAAGTCACTTCTGTTGTTCTACTATTGAAGGTTCTAGTTCTTACCTTTTACTTAATACTGACTCCAATGAGTTTATTCGAATTCAAATATAAATAATTCTGGGTTGATGGTTGACTGTAGTGAATAATTGTAGAGAAGGATGATTGGGATGATCAGTCAAAATTAAAATAGTAAAAATAAATAATTATATATATTTTTATAAAGGAAGGAGATGGTCCGGGGATGCGGTCATAAAAAGGCTAAATAGTGGTAAAACTATTTTATTGAAAGCCAACGTTTCGACCCGACTTTGCAGGTCTTCATCAGGGCTAGAACGGGCAAGATACAAAAAGATAGAGAATTGTGGCAATTACATAATATTTAGACATAATTTATAAATAGTGTGAATAAGCTTATTAGAATTATAAACAGTAAGTACAATAAAATATGGACTAAGTAAGCTGAGTAACAAGATTCTAAAATAAAATAAATAGATGCTAACAATTGCTGTAGTGTAATATATAACAAATGAAAATGTGAGTATAATTCTACAAAATCTACATGAGAAAAAAATAAGATTAGAGACTTACAGGTGTGTTCCTCTAGGAGTTTCATATATTATGTATTTGCTTATTATGTATGTTACATATATTATGTAATTGTCACAATTCTCTATCTTTTTGTATCTTGTCCGTTCTAGCCCTGATGAAGATCTGCAAAGTCGGGTCGAAACGTTGGCTTTCAATAAAATAGTTTTACCACTATTTAGCCTTTTTATGACCGCAACCCCGGACCATCTCCTTCCTTTATAATGCAACGGTCAACTATTAAATATTTAATATATATTTTTATATTTGCAGACTTCACCAGGGCTGTTAAATCCAAGAAGCGTGGAAAGAGGTGGTCTCTTAGATTGAACAGCCCTGATGTAGGCCCGAACTTTGGGCTGAAACGTCGGCAAATATAAAAATATATATAATTATTTTTTTTACTGTTTTTGTATGATCACCCCAACCATCCTTCTCTTCAAATATAAATATTATTAAAAGTTTCAAGTTCTACGTTTTTCAATCTCCCGCATATTGATCCACCAAATTCAGCAAATTTCATCTTTATTTGTAAGGCTTACAATATTTATTTATGGATTTTCGCCATTGATTCAAGGAGAGGTTCAGCTGAACGGAACTTGCAGGGTTGTGCATACAATACTAACCGGAAAACAATTAAACCTCCAAATCTTGAAGATTAAACGCGGTTTGGGCTAATGGAGAAGTGGTTCCTGTGCACAAACACATCCGCTTTGAACCAACATGGAGGGGTCAATATTGACTCGTTTAACGTTTTTAACTTTGGTTTTCAAGCACTTTTTGGGCAGTTGTTTGCTATGATATTAGTACCTATTGCTTTCCCTCTTCGTAGTGGAATATTTACCGAAGGCGTTCAGCCGAGCTGATAAAGCATGGAGTGTTCATCGTAGGGCCGTACGAGTTGATCATGCTTACTATACGGAAGTGGTAGTTCTTGAAAGCATATAACTCTCTATTGTAGACGATATTTATTATCCTGTGTTAATGATATGGGGCAATTACAGTTAGAAATGGGTAACTTTAGACAGAATACAGAAAAGGCTAAAATTGTGAACTTTGAAGTGAGAATTATCTTAATAGTGGATTGATGGTCGACTGTATTGAAAAGAAGAAGTTGTCTGGGGTGTTCAGTCACAAAGTAAAAATAGATAAAATTATATTTTCTTTAATTTTTTCCGACGTTTTGGGCCAACGTTTAGGCCTTCATCAGGGCTAAGGAAAGACCAGATCACAATAGGTGTGAGAAAGTATTAACATTGAAAAGAAAAAATTAATATGTAGGTGAAAGGTATAGTCTAATAACATTTAGGTAGAATAAAAAATAATAATAATAATAAAAAAAACTGTACCACTACAACCCATGAAGGGTCTGCGGTTCATTACTACTTAGGGAAAGCACTGTTTCTAGGTCAACGGTTGTGCAAGGAGGTGATTTGACCGAGATCACGCTCAACCGCCAGGTTTTTCCCCTTAATCAGTCATTTAATTAAGGGTACCCACTTTTATAGATGCTGGGTGTGCCCCGAGAGGGACTTCCAACCCAGGGTCGCCCCACGGCCAATGAAACAGATAAATAAATTTTCTACCATGAGCCGGGGTTCGAGCCCGGAACCTTTGCATTGAATTAGGTAGAAACTCAACATTAATATATAAGAGGAGTCGAAGAAATATAAATAAAGTAAATATCAAATAAGGATAACAAAGTTAAGAATAGAAAGTAGCGGATACAAAGTTAGGATATAGAACATAACGATAATAAAGTTAGAAACTTATGAAATACATAATAACGGCAACCAAGTTGGGTACTAATGAAATAATTATAATTAATGAAATTAGGTAAAAAAGCAAGGAAAAAATTAATTAAAAAGAAATGTAATGAAATATTATGAGGTGGTAAGTGTTAGACATAGAAATGGGGGGACGTAGCTGCTAAAATATGATGGCTTAGAATGCTAAAAAGAAGCGAAATTAAAACATGATAAAATATCAAAGCAAGAATTATATTAACTATTATTTATACTTGCAATTCCTTTTCGTGTAAAATTTCCCATAAAATAATGCCTAAAAAACAAAACACATTTTATTGTGTTGTTGGCTTGAGTAAACTGAGGCTAATGAGAAAGTTCAGGTTATATAAAGTTGAATTGCTGCACAAGTATCTTTTTTTTAATCTCTATAATTATTTATTGAATTAAAATAAATTATGCTACACCCATGGGCAATAGTTATTAGTGTTTAAGTTAAGTAGCCATTCAAATTAAGGCTTAAAACGGAAAAAAATCTTTTATTTTTAAAAACGTTCCGTATCACTGGAATTTTTATGGTCTATAGTTTTCAGCTTTTTTTTTTAAACTTGATCTTTTTTCCTTCTATCTAAAAGCTTTCTAATTTTCAAGACAAATTATAACTTCAATATATGTCCGATTATTGTTTATTTTTCATTGAATCATACAAACTTGAATAAATGCAAGTTACCGTATGCTCGAAACTTTATTACAGAATAGTTCAGTAGAAATTTTAATTTAACAACTTTTTTTCAAAAATGGTTTCACAGAGACTGTCAAAATACAACTCTTTATAAAAATTTCAACCTCTGATTCAAACAATATATAAATAGGATAAAAATCAAATATATATATATTTGTTAATAATATTAACATGATATATGAAAAAATAAAAGTCAATCAGATCAGTAGATAAAAAAAGTAAATCAAAGTTGAATTAAAATAAAAACTGCCTCAAAATATCAACTGCCTCCCGCAGTGCCATATGCCTCGCCCTGATGAAGACCTACAAGGTGGGTCGCAACGTCGGCGAATAAATAATAATACTATTTTTATAATTTAGTATTTATGTGACCGCACCCTCTGATCAACTCCTTCTCATAAAATAAATATATATATAAATAAAAAATGAGACCATTCATTGACTCCTACATAAGTCTACTACAGTCAAACCATAAGCATTTTTAGGAGTGTTAGTATTATTTAGTGTAGTTTGCAAATAAAAAGTCTTTAGTTATAATAATAAAATCCGTAAAATTTCTTCTACATATTTTACGTATATATTTTCTTCAGTAGCAATCGCCTATTCTTCAGGCTATTATCTAATTAGAGGATTGGATGTTGGTCAAAAGCCCGGGTGGAGAGGCAGCATTGTCCAGGAGGACCCGGAGTAGGAGACTGCGAGGTCCCTTTGAGGAGTTGGGTGGGACAGTTCTTTGTCGACCCGTTGAGTTCTATCGACCCCATCGCCACAAAAAGTCCTTCAACAATTTGTCGACAGTGTTGGTCCCGGTTAAATGTTGACAGTCCCCCTCCCACCCTCGACCTTCGTCCTCCTCCCCACGGCCACCTCCTCATTCATGCATTCCTCCTAAATTAAGTCTTATTGATTTGTTTAGTTTTGTCATTTGGGTCTGTTAGTTTGTCATTTCTTTTTTGATTTCTGTGATTAAGAGAGAGCTAAATATTACTACTAGAATGATAATTAAAATTTTGGTTTGATTACGGTATTTAGGATATTGGATTGATAGTAGGATTTAAATTCTGGTAGACTGTTTTGGAATTTTTTGGACGTGATGGCCGAGCGTATTAAAACTTTAACTTTAACATTCTCGAGTCTAGCGACGCCATACAGTGATGTAAAACATCTTATTTTAGGGGAAAAAAATCTCGCCCATCTTGGACATACGACTGCAAAGTTCATACATTGGTAAATATACATGTATCTTCTTATTCCGAATCGAATGAAACAAAAAGTAAATTGCTAACTTTACGCGTTTTTATTATATTTTAAATTTTGAAAAATGTGAATAAAAATTAATCTGATAAATCGAGTCATCATGTTTTTTTCTTCGAAATCGAAATGGCCAAGCGATAACTATTTTGCACTCTTGAAAAAAATTTTACTCGTAAGCTCCAATTTTTGACGGAATTATTATTTTTATTTTACGATAATCTATGTCCAATGGAACCTCTTTTTATATTATATATATATATATATTCTTTTTCAAATGCTATTTATAAAATAATTTAAATTTCGTTTTTGAAAGTTGCATTTATATTTGTTCATTAATATTTCAGGTAAAGAATTTGCACGATACTTACACTTAAATAATATCACTTTTAGTTTTACATAGACATCTGTTTTTGTTTTTTTCTCAATAGTTTCGTACGAACATTTTATCAAAAAATTAATAAAACTCGATCATAAATCATAAAATTTCAGACATAATTTTATGATTTCAAGAAAGCCATAGTCTTGTACTTAAATTATTCTATTAATGTATATAGGAGATCCCTGTTCCCGCAATATTGTTTGCAAATTGGAGCAAAAGATTGATCCAATTTTCGCATGGTTTATTAATGTCTTAAAAAAAATTAATAAATTGCTACCATCTATCTTCTGTATATCGAATAACTACTTTTGTATTGGGCTTGTCATGAGAACAAAATCATTGCACACGGCAAACAACATTTTCTTTTCTTGTTTATTAAGAAATATTACAATCTGTCTCGATTAAGTATATTTATAATAGAATTCAGTTAGCACATACACACGCTATGTGCAATAAATAAAAGTAAATTAAACAGCAAAATAATGTAACTAAAAAAAATACTATACTGATCAAAACAACAACTTAAAGACAAACATACAAAAATGTCTAATTAAAAAAAATACATTTCACTGCACCCGATGTTTCACACCGTTTTCTGTCTATAAATTCATTAATGACAAAAGGCAATATAAAACGTACAAAAAACGCAATCAAAATTTTTGAAACGAATCTCCTCGACTAACAGCCGGAAAGCGCTCTTGCTTCCATTCCATTTAGTTTTAATTTTTCTTTGTTTCTTGTTGCAATGGGGAGAACAAAGAGAGCGCTGTGCCAGATGGAAAATTAATCCGAGTTTGCCAGTGACAGAGGCACAGAGGCCCCCAGATCATAAACAGAATAGATTTCACCAGGCTTGGAGCCCGATATGTCTCTGCCCTTTTAAGTTCATTTCCATTTCAAGCAGAGTTCACAATGACTAACATAAAAAAATAAATAAAAAATATTCTTATTTCTTGCCAGGTCTTGGGGTCTTTAACTGTTAATGAGCTTTTGCATTAGGTAACTGTATAAGAGTTCAGTCACTACCTATTTAACAGTTTATCGCTCACCTGCTAAAAACCCAGTCCTCATAAAAACATTTATTTTGAAATATTAATTAAAAATAATAATACTTGTTATAATAATTTAATGCATTAAAAATTATTTCAATCATTTTGCAAAGCTTGATATAGTATTTAAAGTTTGAAACACTAAAATATTTTCAATTATTGCTTTCCGAAAGATTTTTCTCCGTTGGACACGGGTCAGAGCTATTCTTCTATTATCTCTTTCTCAACAGGAATACTTCAAGGATCAGATCTCGATCCATTACTTTACGTCACATGTACACAAGATATTCCTCACCGTTCCACAATTTCAACGACGTATCCTAACGACGCAGCATTCTTAGAAAGGCACAAAGATCCAAAAATGTCTCACACATTATACCATATCATTTAGTAAAATTACATGGTCCAAATTTTGAAAAAGAAAAAACTGTTAAATTCCAAATCGCATCGCTTCATAAATACTATTTGACATAAAACGTGTCCTCCTGTTTTCCTTGAGTCAACTGTCGATGTACACTATCTTGCTTCATTATTTATCCAAATAATAATGACGTATATCATGACGAGATATCATTAACAAAGAATTCTAAACCTTCTATTTTCACTTCTTTTAACACATTAAAAAGTAAAACATAAACTGAAATTTAACAGATATGTCTATTCATTGAAACCTATTTGTGTCTTGTAGATATAAGGGATAGCTAAAAACATCATGTTAACAAACTTTAAATCCTTCTAGGAAAAATATATAGATTAATATCAAAACCACACAGGTGTTT